AAGCTGAGCTGAAGAGGGTTTATTGCGTACAGTTTAGGATTTAGGGTTTAGGGTTTGTCAGCTAGCTACTTCCCCATTGAAACTGCAAGCCTGCAAGCTCAATAGTTCATATCCACTGAAAAGAAATGAACATGTAGTATGTGGGTGCCAATAGGAGCTCTTACAAACTTACCATCAGTCATATCTATTATAACTTCTTGGATTGGCTTGTCGAATTTCTTAGGATTGATAAATTTCGTTCCTCCGAATTTCTTTGCAACCTCCAGCTTGTGCTCGTTAATATCAACGCAAATGATTTCCTTTGCTCCACAGAGGCTGGCGCCTTCTACGCAGGCCAAGCCGACGCAGCCGAGTCTGTCAGTGAAACGAGTGCGCAGTTTGAGTGTGTGTTTACTTCCTATTACCTCTAGCTTTGATTGTTTTAAGCTTTTATGCAGTTGGTTAAAGAAAAACTTGACATATGTGCATGGGCGCAGTGACCAGGAGGCGAATTTCATACGTTGCAGTGCATGAGGTGCATTAAGTTTATACGCAAGAGAAAAAACTGCATGCAGATGGAATATCTTCAAAACTAATTTGGAGAAATGAGTGAGTTGAGGTTTCTAGTAGTGCGGAGGAAGGGTTTACCCATAGACGGCAACAGTAGATCCTTTTTCAACCTTTCCTGTGTTCATGGCGGCGCCCATCCCAGTTGGCACTCCACACCCTAGCAAGCACATCTGTTGTACAAAGCAGAGAAACACACAAACTGGCTCAGCTGAAGGACCTTCAAGCTGCGTGAAGATGAAATTAAACTACAAGATACCCCTCTGCCTCATGGCAGCTCCAGCTTCACCCCGCGGGGAGAGAAGTTACAGACTTACGAGATTCATCGGGCTGTTATCCGGGATGACAGCAACACATTCTTGAGGCACAACTGTATACTGCGAGAAGCTGAACATTCACAAACACCCCATCAGCACGAAATTTACTGCTCTCTGCACTCAGTCCGCTACAGTCCAGCTGTATGTTCTCAGTTCAAACAGAGAAACGTGGCCTTTTGATTGGGTAAGAGATGAAATCGAGGAACTGTTGGTCTCTTGAAATATTGTTTTCAAGAGAGATGAGCGGCTGCTGCTAACCTGGATGTGCCCATGAAGTGGTGGATTGGCTTTCCATCCATGGTAGTGAAACGCGACGTGTTGTCTAGAGGCATTACACCCTTAACAAATGGCTCGAGGAACTTTCCGCACATATTCGTCTTGTGGCATTCATGCCCGCGACAGGTTCGGCACTTTCTTTCTTTTCTGTCTTCTGGGA